CCCCGCCTCGCATGACGGGAAAATGGGCGAAGAGGCACATACAGTGAAACGAATCGGACAACCAGGGTGTACAGAGAGTTCTCTGGGAGCAAGGGGGCCGCGCGGGGGCCAGGGCGGGAGGACGAGGAGGACGAGGAGGAAGACGACGACGACGACGACCACGACGATGACGAGAACGAGGAGGAGAAGGAAAGGGAAGACGACGAGGGCAAGGAGGACGAGGAGGAGGAGGAGGAGGAGGACGAGGAGGACGAGGAGGACGACGAAGAGAAGGACAACGAGGACGAGGACAGGGCCCTCAAAATCGCCTCTTCTTGCCCTCTTGGATCTTTGGGGGGGAATCTTGGGGTCCTCTTGGAGCTATGGGGGGTCTTGGGGGTCTATTGGGGCCCTCTTGGAGCCCTCTCGGGGATCCCACGGGAGCGATCCTGGAGGCCATCCTGTAGGCCATCGATCAAAGGAGGGTCCAAATTTGCACCCCCCCTCCCCTAAACCCGCCCCCTGGGGCGTTCTTGGGATGCTCTTGAGCCGATCTTGGGCTTGGGGGCCAAGTTGGGGGCCTCTTGGGGTTGGCCACCGTGGGACAATCTTGCGGCCGCAAAAGCGCATCGGAAGCGAAAAGGCGAGAAGGCAAAAATCCGTCATAGCCCCGTGGGGGCTCCGAGAGCACTTGAAATTGTCTTGTGGCCCTCGTCGGGTCCCTCGGAGGCATGTCGGAAGCTAATCCTGGACCATCTTCGGTTATCTTGAGTCCTCTTGGAGACCACATTGGAGCATCGGGAGCCCTCTTGGAGCTTTCTTGGGCGAAAAAAGACCCTCCACCACCCTGCGGCCCGCGCCTAAAAAAACTAATGGAGGGGAGTGGGAGGGTACCCATCCCTGAAGGGAAGAGGGTTTTTGGAAGGAAAGAACTCGCTAGACCACCTTAGCCCAAAGGGCTGGTGGGATTTCAGGTTGGGCGTTGTCATTTTCCTGACGGCCCCGTCAGGCCAACCCGATTCCCCCGAACCCGAGTTTTCTGTCTCCCCGATTCGTGTATTCGGGTCTTTCTCCGACGACGTCTCGGGCGACCAGGGCCTCCGAGGTCTCAATACCGTGCGGTCACGGGCCGCGCGGTGAGGTCTCTTGGAGTTCCGAGGTCACCGCACGGTCCGTCGCCGCACTGTTTTGGGGCCCCCGAGTTTCGTGCCAGAGATCCAGAGACTCCCAGATGGGGTCCGAGCAGGTTGGGCCAGATGATCGCACCGCATCGCCGATGCATCGGCGATGCGGCTCGATGTGAAGCCCAGTTTTCTACACGGCGACGTCGCCGATACATCGCCGATGCATCGGCGATGCGGCGCGATCTTCCGACCCGACCTGCTCGGACCCCATGTGGGAGGCCTCCGAGAGAGGAGCCCGCTGGCCCGGTTCCTGGATCTCCCCGCGGGGGCCCGGGCGGCAGCGGAGCCCGCCGGCGAGGCGGCAAGCGGCGCAGCGGAGGCCGGCCGGGGTGCCGCGCTGAGCAGCGCGGAGGGCAGCAGGGCCTTCCAGGCCGCGATGCGGGAGGCCCAGACAGCAGAGCACGGAAGCTTCCGACGCGTGTCGGGAAAGGGGCGCCCCCTGGCGCCCAGCAGCGCCAAACACCGCCGCATAGCGCCAGGCAGCGCTCGAAGAGCGCCCAGCAGCGCCCAGCAGCGCCCAGCAGCGCCATGTGAGGGAGGCGCATCGTGTCCGCTCTGCGCGCGCAGTGGGGCGCGCTGCTTGGCGCCATGGGGACGGTCGACGGCCTCCGTGAGCTGCTCTCCAGCGAGGCGCGGAGCAATGAGGAGAGGGCGGCGCTCGCCGGGGAGCTGCGCGGCCTCGTGTGGCAGCCGGGGGCCCTACAACGGTGTGTCGGGCCGGACGAAAGGGGGGGGATTGGGAAAGGGGGGGGTACGAAATTTGCCGCATGCAGCTGGTTTCGGCCTCTCCGAGGGGCCCAGTCCTCGATGCATAGCTCCATCCGGCGCCGGGAGGCGCCGGGAAAATCAGCTACGTGAGCCGATTCTCAAACCCCCCCTTTGCTATCCCCCCCTTTCGCCCGACCCGAGTGTGGTGGCCACACCGCGTTGCGAGTCGGTGGCGACTCTGGGTCGCTGCACTGTCTCGGGACTCGGGCTGCTCTCCGATGACATCTCGGGCGACCAGGGCCTCGTTGAGGTCCCAAGACCGCGCGGCGTCGGACCACGCGGTGAGGTCTCTTTGGGTTCCGAGGTCACCGTGCGATCCGTCACCACACGGTTTCGGGGCCCCGAAGGCAGGCGATCAGGTGCCCGAACGCCAACCACGCGCTCCAGAAGTGCATCGAGGTCCTCCCGGCGCAGGCTACGAATTTCATCTTCGACGAGTTGGCGGCTGGGCCGGACGGGTGCGGGGGCGGCATCGGTTTGGCAGCGCGCCACCGCTACGGCTGCCGCGTCCTGGAGAGACTGGTGGAGCAGGGGCACTCGGATTGGTACGGCGCGTTGCTGGACGCGCTGGTCGCGGACAGCGCGGAGCTCTCCGTCCACGCTTGGGGCAGCTACGTCATTCAGAGCACCTTGGAACACGCGCCTCGTAAGTGGCGCAGAAAGCTCCACCGCATGATCGAGCGGAACATCGGCCTGGCCGACACCAAGCCCTATGCGCGCGCGGTCATCAGCAAGGCGATCGAGAACGCGGAGGACGGCGAGTTGGCTTCGCTCGCCCAGGCCATCTCCAGTAGGCCAGGCCTTCTGTCCAGAATGGCGTGCACCCGCCACGGCTACCCCGGCGTGTTGCACCTCCTGAGGGCCCTTGCGGGCGCGGAGGTGCATGAGATACGCCGACAGCTCACAGAGGAGATGGACACCTTCAGGCGCACGCGATACGGGCGCATCGTCGTGGCGGTCCTGAAGGATATTGCAGATGCCGCCCCAGAGCAGTAGCTGCGTGCGCTCTCGCGCCTGAAGCCTCGGACGCCCCCGGCGTTTTTTTTGCTGCGCGACCTGTACAGAGCGAGCGGCGCCGGCGGCCCTGACCATATGCGCATGAGGCCTCCGGGTGCCCCGTTGTCGTTGCCGTGCGCGCCTTGGCCAAACCTGCCAAGCCGCACCGCTGCACGCCGGACCCGGCCGTGGCGCCTGGCCCAGACCAGGCCGTCCTCGGGGGCTCCACGGGCGCCGGCAGCGCGCGATGGTGCCCGCGGCGCCGCCGGAGCCACCGGCAGCGCCGCAGACGGGGGGAGGGCGAGTTGCAGTGTCCAGCCCACCCTGTTCGAGAGCAGGTGGGCTCGGGAGCCAGGGGCCGCTCGGCCTCCAGTCGAGGGAGACAGGGCGGCAGTCACATTCACATTCACGTCTGGAGGCGCCAGAGGCGCCGCCAGGGGGGGGGGGGCCAGCACGGACCCAAGAAGCCCGCGCGGAGCTTCGAAAGTCTATGCTTTTACGCCGTTGAGATTCAGAAGCTATACGTAAAGACGGGGAGATGCCTCGACCCGCAACCGCCCATTCATCGCGGGAGCCTGGGGTTGCGCCGACGCGGGGTTGCAACATCGGCCTGCAATCGGCGCTGTGTCGCCGACTCCACCACCTCCTCCTCCTCCTCCTCCTCCTCCTCTCCTCCTCCTCCTCCACCTCCTCCTCCTCTTCCTCCTCCTCCTCCTTCCTCCTCCTCCTCCTCCTCCTCCTTTTCCTCCTCCTCCTCCTCTTCCTCCGCCTCCTCCGCCTCCTCCGCCTCCTCCTCCTCCTCCTCCTCCTCCTCCTCCTCCTCCTCCTCCTCCTCCTCCTCCAGGTCGATGCTTCCCCCCCTGAGCCATTTCCCCCCCTGGCGTCCCTCCTCACGAATCCTCCTGTTCACGCGCGCCCGACCCACAGAGAGCACGCAGGGTCACGACCTCGAAGAACACATAAAGAGGGCACAAACATACTCTCGGTTTCTGAATAAGCGTGGGAGGGTACCCCCCGATGGGGGTCAACCTCGCCTCGTCGTCGCGCCGCGACGGGGGTCGGAGCGCCTTCGGCGCGCGGTGGCTGCCCGCGACGGAGGTCCATGTGGGGCTGTCGGCGTGGGTGACGCCCCCACCCCGACGCTTATTGAGAAACGCGGAGTAAACTTGTGGCGGTCCGCGCGGCTTTCTTGGGTCTGCGCTGGGACCTCCGGGGCCGCCCCCGGCGCGCTCCGCGCGCCAGGGAGGGGCCAAGCTCCGATCCGACAAATCCGCGCGGACCGCCAAGAGTTTACTCCAGATTTCGTAATAAAAGGGAGGGGGTCTCATTTCGGGGGGGGGGTCTCTTCCAGGCTCTCTTGGAGGGCCTGGGGGGGTCTGGGGACGATGTTTGGGAGGGTTCTCCCTCGGGGGAGGTCTGAAATGGCTTGTCTTGGAGGGTCCAGACCCCCTCCCTTTTATTACGAAATCTGGAGTATTCTTGTGCCCTGTTTTTGTTCCTCGGCTGCCGGCCCGGAATTCGGCGGGCCTCGAGCGCCCGCGAGGGTCGGGGGCGGCCGAGAGGCGGGTGGTGACTGGGGGGGGGGATATCATGGCGTCGGCCATGAGATCTCCTCAGAGTCCACGGCGCCTCGTCTTCTTTCAAGACGCCCCCGCCCCCCCCCCACCACCACCCTGGGCCACGCACATGCCGCCGGCCATGAGTTGCCCCTCCCCCCTCTTGGACACCACCTCCCTGTTGTCAGGAGGGGAAAAAACACACAGACACAATTAATCGTCGATTCCCAGGAAAATATGGGAAAATATGGAAGTGGGGGGGAAGACACAAATTCAAAAAATATGGGAAATATGGGGAATCATTTTATTTGTGTGTATTTATTTGTGTCCTGGGGCCTCTTCATCTTGGCCGCCCCCGAGCGAGAGGGCCCCGGCCGCGCCGGCCGCGCCTGCTCGCTCCCCGTCTAAGCCACGGGGCGCGCCCGCGCGGCGGCGGCGGAGCTCCCGTTGCCCCTGCTTGGCCAGGGGGGCGGAGACGGAAGTCGGGCACGTCCCTCTGCAGGACGAAGCTCCAAAAAAGTAAACAGTGGTATGGGGACGATTCAGAGCCCCGAATCATCAGGGGTAACTCGGGTCAGGGCTAACTCGGGTTCGTTTTTCGGGAATCCGAACCCGACTTACCCCGGACCCGAGTTACCCCGGATAACTCGGGCGTCCAGAGCCCCGAATCATCAGGGGTAGCTCGGGTCAGGGGTAAGTCGGGTTCTTTTTTCGGAAATCCAAACCCGACTTACCCCGGACCCGAGTTACCCCGGATAACTCGGGCGCCCAAACGATTGGTCGAGGATGGTCCACGAAGCGACGCTGACCAAGGTGCACGGTGGACAAAATCGAGGCGAAGAGTCCGCGTGGAGTCTTGGTCATGGTCTTTCTTTCTCCCCCCCCCAGCTCATCGGCTTTTCGGCCCCTCCAGGGGCCATCGGCGGGCCCCAGGACCGTCAACAAAACGGCTCTCCTTGTCGGCCGCCGGGGGCCGCTCTCGGGGCCCAGGGCAAAAAGCTGCCCCCCCCCCCGGGACGAGGAGGAGGAGAGAGGACGAGGACCAGGAGGAGGAGGAGGAGGAGAAGGAGGAGGAGGGCTGGAGGACGAAGGCGAGGAGGGACGAGGACGAGGAAGGACGAGGATGAGGAGGGGAGGAGGGGAGGAGCAGGAGGACGAGGAGGACGAGAGGACACGAGCCTCCCCGCAGCGAGGCGGGGAAGAAGCGCACGGAGAAGTGGATCCTGCGCAAGGCGCCCCCCCCGCGCATCCTAGCGTCGCAATTGTTTCGCACTGGGCGAATTCGCCTTGTTTCGGGCCCTGGGACCCTCACAGGTCGATCCGGTCTAGGGTTCTGGTTGATGTTTTAACGATGCCGCATTTGATTTGCGACGCCAGATCTCAGAGGCAGCCGATGACGACGATCACGACGACGACGACGACGACGACGACGACGACGACGACGACGACGACGACGACGACGACGACGACGACGGCGACGGCGACGGCGACGGCGACGGCGACGACGACGATTGCGATGGCGATGACGGCGGCAGCGGCGGCTCTCTGCATATGATGATGCGGAAAACGGGGCGGGAACGGACGGAGGAGGCGGGAAGAAGAGGGAGGAGGAAGAGGGTGGGGAGGGATGAAGAGGGAGGGAGGAGGAGGAGTAGGAGGAGGAAGAGGAGGAGGAGGAGAAGGAGGAGGAGGAGGGGGAGGTGGAGGAGGAAGGAGAAGAGGAGGAGGAGAGGAGGAGGAGGAGGAGGAGGAGAGGAGGAGAGAGGAGAGGAGGAGGAGGGGAGAGCAATAGAGGAAGAGGAGGTGGAGGAGGAGGAGGAGGAGGAGGGTGGAGGGGGAGGAGGCGGAGAAGGAGAAGGAGGAGGAGGAAGGCGGAGGTGCGGGGGAGGGAGGGGAACGATGGAGGAGGGGGAAGGCGGAGGAGGAGGACGAGGAGGACGAAGAGGGAGGAGGGAGGAGGGAAGAGAAGATCGGGCTAAGGAGAGGCGGAGGTGATCGAAGAGGAGCATGGCGGTGAAACCAGGGCCTAGGAGCACAACACGATTTGCTAAGTTTCGTGGAGGAGCACGACGTGGCAGGACGAGGAAAACAACGAGCGTTCTTGACGGCCGGACTTATTGACTTCCTCCTCCATCCTCCTCCTCCTCCTCCTCCGCCTCCTCATCCTCCTCTCCTCCTCCTCCTCTTCCTCGTCCTCCTCTTGCTCCTCCTTCCTCCTCCTCCGCCTCTCCCCCCTTTCTCGTCATCCTCTCCTCCGCCCCTCCTCCTCCTCTCGGTTATCCCTCCGGCTCCTCCTCCCCTCCTCCTCCTCTCTCCTCCTTCCTCTCCTCTCCTCTCCTCCTCCTCCTCTCATCCTTTGTCCCTCCTCCTCCTCTCTCCTCCTCCTCACCTCCCTCCACCTCCCTCCTCCTCCCTCCTCGCCCTCTTCGCCTCCTCCGCCCTCCTCCGCCTCTACCGACTCCTCCGACCTCCTCCGCCCTCCTCCGCCCTCCCCTCCTCCCTTCTCTCCTCCTATCCTCCTCCCCCTCCTCCTCTCCGATCCTCCTATCCTCATCCTCTCATCCTCCTCCTCCTCCTCTCCTCCTCTCCTCTCCTTACTCTTCCTCCTCCTCTCTCCTCCTCACTCCTCCTCCCTCCTGCTCTCCCCTCCTCTTCCTCCCGCTCCCGCCTCCTGCTCCTGCACCTTCCTCCGCCCTCCTCCCCCTCTCCCTCCTCCTCCTCTCCTCCTCCTCCTCCCCTCACTCATCATTCATCATCATCTTCATCTCATCATCATCATCATCACATCTCATCATCATCATCATTATCATCATCATCATCATCATCATCATCATCAATCATCATCATCAGCATCATCATCATCATCATCATCATCACATAATCATATCCTCATCCTCATCCTCATCATCCTCCTCCCTCCTCATCCTCCGCTCCTCCTCCTCCTCCTCTCCCCCCCTCCTCCTCCCTACTTCCTCCTCCCCCTCCTCCCCTCCTCCTCCCCCCCTCCTCCTTCTCCTCCTCCTTCCTCCTCCTTCCTCCTCCTATTCCATCCTCCTGCTCCTCCTCCTCCTCCTCCTCCTGTTCCTCCCATTCTTGAGAGAGGAGGACAGAGGACAAGGAGGGGGGAAGGGGGGAAGAAGGAGGAGGAGGAGGAGGAAAACAAGTTCCACCGACTGGTGACCTCAAGGAAAGGCGAGCGGACGGAGGGGAGGTAGGACGGGAGGGTCTCTCCCGCCCCACTTCCCTTCTTCTCGCCTCCTTCCCCTGGGAGGCCACGGAGAGGTGCAGGGCGCAGGGAGGCCGGCCCGAGGGGGTGGGGGGAAAGGAGCAGGGCGAGCAGCGGAGCCAGGGGCCAGGCGGGCCGCATCGCGCCCCCGAGGCGTTCGACCTCCCGGGCGACCAGGCCTACCTGCCGAAGGAGGTCCTCTGGCGGCAGAAGGACATCCTCCCCAATAGGGAGCCGAAGAGTGGCATACATTGGGGGCCCATACCAAGAAACACCCTGCTTGCCTCCAGGGTGCCCTGGGTTTTTTGGGCTTCGATGGTTCTGCTCTGGAGCGCGTGACGTTCCCACACCAAAAATCAGTGGGCGTCATGGGGTCTCAGGGCTTGGTTTATAGTGGAAAGTTGTTTGTGGACTGGCATCCACTGTAAACATAAACTCTGGCCGCCGTTCGTTTTATGTCAGTGCTTCTCCGATCGGCGCGGGCTTCCCCCCCCCTTCTCCCCCTCGTAGACCAGATATCGGCTGCTCTCGGCGGCTGCTTTGGGCGACTGGTCAGGCCCCCTCTGCCCGAGCTTGCTTACGCGACTGGTAAAAGCAGATCGACTAATTTAGCACTGGGTCAGACCCAGACCCCCTCCTCCCCCACTCTTCGGCCAAACATCGAAACCCTGAATGAGAAAACGCGTGTCTGAGGTCCGCGCGGATTCCTCGGACTGGCGTTGGGGCCTCCTGGCGGCGCCTCCAGCGCCTCCAGGAAGGGGGGTCCAGCGCCGATCCGAGCGAGAAGTTTGCGCGGATCCCCGAGTGGGGTATGGGGGAGGGGAAGGTTTCGTAGAAGGAGGCTACTCTTCAGAAAGCGCGGGGCTTGTCTGTACATCTAGGGCCGGCGCCGTCTAAGAAGCAGCCTCCTTTTCAGAAGCCTCCCCCCCTCCTCCTACCCCCATCGCGCGCGCCGCCAAAAGACGGCCTCCCCAGAGCTCTTGCCGGTGCCTCCGCACGCTGCTCCACGGCGCCCCAGTCAACGTGCAGATCGGACCCCAGATATGATCGCGTCGTGCAAAACATACGACGGACGGTGCTTGGCCATGTTCGGCCTTTGGGGGGGCCCTCGCCGGGACCGTCAAAAACAATGTGGGTTGAAAAGTCGGTCTTGGGGAAAATGTCGGGGCGTCCAGGGCCCGCGTATTGAACAATTCCAGGCTTCGCATGTCTGACCTCGCATGTCTGGGAGTCGCGCGTCGCGGTCTGGGCCAGAGCGGTTGCCCATCTTCACAGGGGCGGCGCGAGGGCGCGAAGATAGTCGCGGGGTGCAGTGGCAAAGTTGGGTGGCCTAGAAGTCGGCGTGCAGATCGAATTGCGGGGCGGGCTGCGGAGCGACAGAGCTCCTCAGGGCTTCCCAGGGCCCCCTTCCGAAAGGGCTGCCCAGGTCCCCGTCTGAGCCAGTTTGCCACCTGAGCCCATCCAGGACCATTCGACCGCCGAACGGGCTAGATTCCCGCCGCACAGTTGAAATAGAGCTCGTTCGGCTGCCCACTGGGCGGCCGAACGGGCTCAGACGCCGACTGGGCTCAGAGGGGAGCCATGAGATCCGACGTCTCGAAAAAGCTAAGAAGTCGTAAAACATCACGACCAGGGCCCCTGACCCCACCTTCTTGCACCGTTTTTCGAGGCGGGTCAATACGTGAGGGCCTGAGGGCCCGAGACCCGGGGAAAACGCCCGGCTGGAACAACGATTAGGCGCCAGGATTTGAGGGAACCTAGGGGTGTGTTGCCCCCCCAGGCCTCGGAGGCGCCGTCAGGGAGCCACCCCGCAGGGGGGGGTGGGCCAGGTGCGTGATGCAGAAAAGCGGGATCGTCTTCACCGACATTGGCGCGTAAGCTGAAGCGTAAGGTCGCGCCGTCATTTCCACCGTGGCGTGCCGCGCTGGCGGCCCGCGTTAGCTACCGCTTGAGACCGCGATGCCATCTCGCGTAAGACCCGTTTCTTTTCGTCGCTGAGGTGCGCCGCCGAGCGGCCCGCATTCGGGGCCCTCGGAGGCCTCCGAGGCTGCGCCTGCGGGGGCCACCTGGCGGGGCCAGCACGTCCGAGCCGGGCGCGGCCTGGCTCGACCCAGATCTCCGAGAGTCTGGGACGCGTCTGTCGGCTTTCAGGCGTTCTCCTGGGTTCCTGGCGGTGGTCTAGCCTCGGGGTGCTTCCCAGCGGCTGCGCCTTGCCGAGAGCGTTCTGGGGGTACCAGGATCGTGTCGAGCGGCTGCCAGAGACCCGAAGTATGACCTGAGAATTAGATCTC